TTCAATAAGTTACCTGTTGTTATTCAGTTGTTTCGAATTAATATTGTTACTAATAAATTATATTTGATGTGATCAAAAAGTTACGTTGCAAGACAGTAAAATCGTAAAGGAAACGATCGATTGTGCGGAAAATATTTCAAAACTGAACCTGAAAGTGATCGTTTTTTTCTCCCATTTGAAGCCCGATAATGCGTAACGTTTTCGGTGCCTCCTTCGATGTCGATGGTGGTACTCGTTGATCGGTCGATCCGGTAAACCGCATCTAATATGGTGTTTAATTTAAAATAAATGATCTCTGAAAGCGTTTCGCTTGAAACAATCACGACGAGTGACTGACTTAACGGGGAGTGAACCGAAATAAAAGCAAAAGCTTTTGTGGTATGATGTATATGGACTGAGACAGACACTTCTTAAATGTCGAATTCAATTCGGTGAGAAAGAACCTTTTGCGTGACATTAGCTGTTTAGTGGCATCATCTAATTTACCAGTGACAGGGATATTACCGTAATGCTGCAGTTCTCTAATCGCTTCTTCAACAAGTGTTTCGCTCAACATCGCTGCCACACCATTCTCGACTTTTGGTAAATACCCAAATTGTTCTAAATATTGTAACTGAAAACAGATCTCGATTCAATCTCTTAAACTGAAATGTTCAAAGATATTACTTCTTATTTTCCCGCTTTTTATTCATTTATCAGTTCACCAGTTAGGAAATTTAGTGTGTGATTTGTGTTAATTTTTACCAACAGTGAGTATCAAAGAACCAGTTGAAAAGAATTGGAATAAATGAAACATTCAATCGAAACTTATTCGAATTGCTGAAAGAAAAGAATTTTAGAAGTAATATGAAACAATGTCGTTAACACGAAAGTAATGGAGTAGATAAATAGATTATTGAATTAGAAAAGTGATGAATAAACAGTCAGTTGAAGAAACGAACAGAATAAACAAAAGCAAAACGAAATCAGCAAACCGTTTTTGCAGAATACGTCCCAAACGAAGTCGACACTAATGTCATTAACAAAATGCAAACAGTTATCGCCATTTCATCCACCACTCCGCAGAGAGCACCTTAAAGTGCATTTCATATTTTGTTTCATCCGAAAAAAATTGGGGCCGTCACTTTCAACTGGATCGATTTGGATCACTATTATTGCTACAACGCTAACTAAAATAATTCAAAACACAACTGATATAATCAATTTTGATTCATCGCAGTATGGTATATCCAAGTTAAAAAGGGTATTTTCATGGACAGATCAACAACGGGAGGAAGGGGTTAATTTCTCGATTTCTTGGGGGTTTTACTCAACGGACTGAGATCTAATCGAAGACAAGAAGGGTCGAAGGGTCGTTAAAGGATCCATAAACTTCGAAAGTTTTACGGCGAGGAAAATTATTTGCATGAACATGTTTGATGCAATTCAATGACAGAAATGTGTTTGATAATACAAGCTACTTAAACTAGGTTAGTGCAAAATTTGTTTCTTTTTGCAAGATGGATTCTTGCAAAGATATTCGCTAATGATATTAATCCCTCATATCTTCTTATTATCAAAATTCACTTCGTGCGTTATGTTTATCATATGTAAACGAATTCACATTGATTATGCAAAACAGTTTTTATTCAGTGAGTCAATAGATCAACCGAAGCGCTTGCATCCGCTCTGATAATTAATATTCGTAACGCTATTGCGATCTCACATCCTTGTTATCTTTCGCACAACATTTCACTAATACTAAACACGAAATGCAAATCCTAGTCATTAGTCGATAAAACTGCGCGTTTATAAAACATATCAGTTTGTCGAGAGGATGTACTGAACATTACCATGCATTAGATAAAACAAACTGAATTAATTGAGGAGATGACCTGGAACTTGCTTGAACGGAGTTCTAACAAACGAAAATTTAAGATGGATAGCTGTTCAAAGGATGGGACTGTTGAAGAGTAATCACTACTGAAAAGTTGATCAATGCCTACGAATAATCAGTCACAGTGAACGCGGACAATCTTGAATGCAATTCAACGCACGTGCATCAACATCATCATCATCCACATTAACGATTCAAATTAATATCCGTCATCCACAAAAACATTATTCACTGCATCTGCACAATGTCGTTATTTTTTGTTGACTTTCCCAAAGCTATTACCATATTTGAGAGTGATTGTGAGAATCCGATGCATATTACGCACACCAAATGTCTCACTTTTGTCCGTCAATTAACCAACAAAAGAGGAAATGCAAATGACACAATCAAACCCAAATATTGAAGAGTGGAATTAATGTGAAATTAAAATGAAATCAACTGAATGCATTGAGAAAACAGATGGAAATAAGAGATTAGATGAGGAACTAAACTTCACTGACAATGCGTGAGAGATAATTTCTTCAAAAAGTCAAATCGTTTCAATCAAAGATGTAACCTACCAAACCCTTACTTAGGCAAGAACGCATCCTGTTAATGGATAATTCTTCTAAAATTTTCCACTGGAATAATGTCAGAGTGCAGAATGAATTAATTTTTTGAATACAATGGATCAGATCGGTTTTTCTTCAGACACAATCAACTGATCATTGTCTCAAAGTGAATGTTGAAACATAAAGATGCAACGATGAAAAAAATGAAATAAAATGCAGCAAACAATATCACTGCAATTTTGCAATGCTCACAATCAGCAACTGACTGACCCATTCAAAGCAGCACTTACAATAGGCTTTTTCCCGAACATCTTGCTACTCACTAGATTCTCGGATAAAACTCTCCCATTTCCGGTCTGCTATTACTCAGTCCAGTAGTGATTTCTAATTGCACGATAGTAAAAAAAAACTGAGAAAATATGATTGCAATCTAAATTTTAATCGCTCATAAGCGGAATTAGTNAAGAACATGACAAATAAAACTTAAAAACACTAATTGTCACTCCGTGTTCTGTAGAAGAAAATCATTATCATATCGAATACCAGTAAAACAATTTACCGCATTGTTCCAATTTGAGCAGTGAATTTTTGCAAGGAAACTCTTCGAAAGATTGACAAAGTCAAGTATGCGCTTCAAAAGATCTGACGCTTGAGTATTCTGCAACGCTTACAACTTTTGCTCATTGAAATCACTTCAGAAATGTAAATTGAAGTGCAATTATCTCTGCATTCAACATGTGAATATTCACCGAATGGAAATTATTTTTCGAAAAACAATGCACTATACCGATATGCACTTAGTATAGCATGCAATATTTTGTCAATAAAATCATATAGTTAGATATGTATGGTTTCATTACTAATTCTAAGACATTGAACAAATCAAGTGAAAATTAATCGGATTATAACTCAAAGCAGAATTGAAACCAAAGGCGGAAAATAATACTCATGAATTCAGAAATCCCCATGGATTCAGTTCATGCTATGTGGATGTATATGCAACTAAAATAGCTGTTAGCTAGTAAAACGCTATGAACGAACGCTATGCAAGGCGGAGCTCACTGAAATACATCATATTATGAGGAAAAAAGGATGAAGCCGTGAGGTTTGCGCCTGCATTATGCACTATATGAATATTTTGTGCATGAGTATCGTGATGCGTGAATATTTTACTGGATAGAACTTGATTTGGATTGATTCAAATGTGCTTGCTAGTTTGCATGTAGATGCGTTTATCGCTGCGCATATGGTCATGCATAACAAGGTCATTCACATCAATAGATTCATCAGTGTATGTCGAAATTAGCATTGAAAAACTGCACTCGAATGAGCCATGAGACGATTGATTGGTTTCTTGAACATTACCGGAAATTCCCTCAAAATAGTTAACGATTTTGACCTGTTGGTAGCGATTACATGCACGTTCCATTGATTAATGCAACACCAGTTCTCAAGGATATTGTGTTCATTTGAACTGGCTAACTTCGATCGCTTAGCTGTAATTGGGACATGAAGGAATTTCGCAATAATAAAAAGTTTTCACGGAAAATGTGTGACTGCGTTCGCCATCAACCAAAGGAATCAACGCATTGCGAAATGGCAGGATGATTCATCATTGCACTACTACTCACCAATAGTTCCAATGTCCCAATGGGGTTTGTATTCGCGAGCGTTTTCGCTCGTGTATGACGATTTTTTCATGGATACTTTGTTTTATGGTCAGGAAAGAGATGCGTATTTCCGCAACGAAAACCATTCTCAAGCGACGGATTTTCTGGCAGAGGAACATCGCGTTCCAGTATCGTTCCAATTTCTGCATAAAGATACTGTTTTGCAGCGTAGACGTCCCACTGATATCGACACATGTGAGGAGGTGAACTTGAGTGACGGATTCGGGACGTTGGAGTGAACGGTAAAAAACGCAATCGCTGTTCCACGTGAAATAAAAACTTTTTTACGGGAATATTCACGTTCCAGAAAAAGAAGTCGAAAATTCGGATAAACTTGGACGGAATTCTTGCGAAACAAATAAAGTGGAAAGAAACAGAGAGTATTCACTTCTGAAAATGTTCAGCTAAAGATTTTTGTGTCGAAAAAAAATTTCGATGACTTTGAACAGCTACGAGTGAGAGAAGTCACTGATTGTGAGCAGAGAACAGAAGCAAACGGAAAGTTTTACGCATATGAATGATAGATTATTGAAACTATTTTTGGGGGTGGTTTTATTTACATTATTCAGTATTTTTGAAAACTGATACTGAAAGAACTATCGAGAGAACTCGTTCGATGTTGAGCAGTAAGTGCAGGATGAGTCAATTGAATCAGTTATTACCATACAGTGGAATATTTGAGGAATTATGATAGCATTATGATTACGATAAAATTGTTGATAAGCCGTAATGCTCGATAGATGAATAGTAATTTCATTTGTTTTCAATAAACAATCAAATATCACTGTGCAGTATTTACAGTGCAACGCAAAAGCTCCACATCTCAAAAATGGGACCGAGAACTTCCAGAAATAAATTCGGACATTTACTTGACGGATGTAGACTAAAAACGATATAAAAATTAATTGACAGAATCTCCTTAATGATTCACTGTCTGCAATAC